GAAGTTATCCGATATTCTTCTATCATTCTTATACGTTCTTTCTTGCTTTTTTCTTTCAACTACTTCTTTTAATCTCTTATTAAGATGTCTAAAGACTGCCTTTTTTCTTTCGATATCATCATTCGTACCGCTAGAATTACCAGCCTTTGTTGCTAGTAAATCTAGCCATGCTCTCTTCTTTGCTTCAACTTCCATACGTATCTCATCATCCCACCATAACGTATTATTTTTACTTTCATTCTTTCTCTTACTAACACCACATACTTCGGATAGCTGCATCCAATAAACCTTTCTTTACGTTTTGCCATACATTCTCCAAGTCTAACTCCTTCATACATAATTCATCCAAACCACTTATATTTTCTTTCAGTCTACATTTGAACTTGTTTTTCTCACCTTCATATTGTAACCTTTCTGTTCTAATACGCTGTAACGCAGTGGTAGACACAGATGATCGATGGCGCCAACGCCTGAATAGACCATTAATTCGGCATAAAACCAAATCAATGATCCGTTCCTACGTTAGAACCCCGGTAAACAATTGTATCTACCACTGCGCCCCTCAATCTTTCATCCACAATTATGAAATCTATCATGCTTCTATCGTCACCTCTTTCCCAAGTATACATGTGAATCCTCTTGTGGCGAAAGCAAGTGTTCGTCACAAAAAGATTCTTTTCCACATATACGGTGAGGAGACTTTCACCATTCTAATTTATACTTTCGTACCACCAAACGTTCCCAATATCCTTTCATAACCAAGCCTCCTCACCCCAACTCTTCCATTAAAATCTCTTAGCATAATAATATTTTCATTTCCCTTACACTTCATTAACACTATCCTTACCATTTCCCAAAACTGCTCTCAGATATAAGTGGGCTTTAGACATGTCTGGGGCGTAGACCCCTAACACAAACAACTTCTTTAAGCCCACTTTCATTTGTATCCATAGCAGTCTTGGGCTTACACATTCATACTCTTTCACACATTGGCCCATTCTTTCTGAAAGGATGATACCTACTCCCTGGCATGCCCGCTCGATCTCGTCTACACCAGACCAGTATGCGGTATACATGCCATGTGTAGTGACATCCTTCCCCTTCCTTTTCGTCTCATTTACACATAACACATCTATTCCTCTATCATACATCATATCGCATACTTCATCCATTTTATCATTCATTGCCCCACATACATTCAACGTAGCCAGACGGGCCTCTGCAATCCACTTTTTGCCTCTCCGGGAGACAGAACGTGACGGGTGGCGAACCTCGTCGCCGGTTTTCCTCCCGGAGATTCTTCGCACCCCTGCCCCATTAAAGGGGCGCCGGGAACTCGGGGCCATTTCTTTTATATGGTTCCTCATGGTGCGAAATATGGGGTAGTATATTTTACGCTGCTACCACGGCGTGGAGCCGAGTCTGTGGTATCGGCTTGTCGCTCATTTAGCACCACCCGGGGACACGTGTAGGGTGGGCCTAGGAATAGGCCAGGCTAGGAATAGGCTAGGAATAGTGGTCAAAGCCTACGGACGCGAGCGACTTATCCCCCTTTTATTAGTTCATAATTAAACATTTAATTTATAAACAGGACTTAATTCATACCTGACTACTACACATTTCTTTTTTGGAACATTACTTATATTTCACTTTTCATTTTTTAATTAAATATACAAATATACAAAGCAATTTTAAAAGTTTTCGTTTGTCTTTGTTTGATCAGCCTATGAATAACGTGGCCTTTGAGCAACCTAGTAAGAACGCAGCCTTAATTTTCAAGTTATAGACAACGGTATATTTAGCTATCCTGACATGAGTTTAGCGGTGTGGTCGGCAACATATTTTATTGCTTAGCTCAAAATTCAAATTTAAAATTAATAAATTATTTCTCAATAAAATTTCACAATCAAGTATGCATTATGCAAAACAAATATGAATAATTAGAATATAGATGCCGTGTAGTGGCAGCGTAAAAGAACCCATCACCCAGTGCACTTTGTAGGTTTTTATAGAGGCAACTTTGGAAATAATAGTTCTCATGGTTTCCTATAGATGGCGATAATACGAAACATGAAATAATTAGACCGGTGATGAGACACATCGTCAGAGATGCGAACATCCGCTAGAATCCGCCTTTTAGTTAAATTTAAATGTGAGCTTTTAAATGTTGATGAAAACAACTATGAACGCAAAAAAACACGTATAAACAATGTGAATGTGTTGTCACTTATGGGGACTAAGATAGAACGCCACGTTAAAAGTAAAAGGGTTTCTGGTTTTGGCTATACAAAACACAGCTGTATTTCACGTTGGTATTTTGTGAAACCGCGGTAATTTCTCACCCTAGCCGACCCTTTCACACTGCAACCAATACATTGGCCTTTGGTTATAGACATAATAGAACAAGTCTCTACCAGTTTTGATGGTCAATTTTAAAAGCTGCCATGTCCCTCTTCGACGCAATAGCCTTCTAACATCTATTCGCGTTCGCTACTGTACCCAGAAGAACACCGTTTGTTAGGCAATGTCCTGTAACCACAATACCACGTTAAAGTATGTACGTATGATAAAAAAGTTATGAATTTGCATAGTAAAATGTGTTGAATTATAAAATTTATAAAATTATAATAATAGTATTACAAAAAAAAAAGAAATTTGTAATTGTTTGGCAGTGTAATTTTCGAAAGAGTAACAAAATATTAAAGGCATGAATTTATAAAAAAGTTAAATCCAACTTCAAAGTGCTAAAATAGTAAAATAGTCTCTCATCAAGCATCAGAAATCGATGCCTTTGTCCGTGGTGACACGCTGCAGCTATATTATGGTTGTAGCAAGAATGGTTCGGCTCGACTGGGGAAGGACCACGCTCTCGTGAAATACCCGCGTAAATAATACGAGTACCATACGAAGTACTTCCTAACACTACGTAGGTACTACTTCGTATGGTGAGTATAGAGAACTGGAGACCCTTATAACTGGAAATTAGGCATATCATCGTAGCCCTCAAGTGTGACAATGCATCCGTATTTTGATTCTAAATTGAAGATAGATGTAGATATCTATGGGCCACAGGGTCTACTTACTATTAGGTGGACTGTGTGCTCGTTTGTCACCCATATGCAATAAAAAAATGCCTCGACATAATATATAAGAACTTTGAAGTCTACCTTTACTATTCAGACTCTTTGAGTGTTCTAAATAGTTACAGTAAAAACTTCATCTCCTTTTTCCACCTTATAAGATAGACTTTTTTCCATATATATAGGACATTGAAACTTATAATTAAACGAAATTAAGAATAGAACCAAAATTAAAATAAACTATATACAAAGTAAATTTTACTTTGTTTATAGTTTATTTTAACTTTTACTATTTCGGTTTAACAGACTATATAATGAACTGAAAGATACCCGAATTAAGTTTATTAACAAGTGGAGATCCGCTCAATCATGTTTCGGTTTTTGTAGTGCATTTTTTTAATTTGTCTTTTTTGCAGTCGAGTTGTTGATTTTTTAAATTAATTATTTTGTTTTAATCTTTTTATTGTCCCGACACACTTTTACGAACTAAATTTCATATGATAGCTCGATATCCTACACAACATGGCCCGTTTTTACGGTATCAAATTTTTTAAACCATTAATTATTCCCAATTTAAATTTAAACATATAACATAATATACATTTTTGTAATCCTCTTTTAATTTCCTTTATTTTGATACTCAAAAGGTTTTTTTGACCTACTACTATTTCACGCAATTTTTTTCAAACAGCTATCTAAGAACACTTGGAATTTTAAGGCCACGCAGAACAGAGTCAAAAGTTCGAGACGTCGGCCCTAAAATCGTCAATATGATGTTATGGTGGAGGTGATTCTCAAATGTTCAGATTCTGCAGAGTTCTCGAGTGTTGATGTCTCACGTAAAAATCAATATATTTCCTTTTATGTTTTCAACAAATGAAATGAACGTATGATATAACTTTTCACTGTGTATCTAAACAATATGTATAATGATTTTTTAGAAAGGCTGAGTCGATAGAAATTATTATTAATAGGTATTTTACACTTCTGAGGGTCGAAAAATAGGGGATGAAGATTGTATGATGATGTAATAATTTAGACGACATTATGGTTGTTAACTTGAGCTTGTGCTGTAAACTAACTTTTCATAACTTTCAAAACTGACTTCGGAAACTAAAAAAAAATAAAACAAATTTTACACACGCATTATGTCAACAGTAAGATTGTCTCAGTTGAGACGTGAAAATTATTTTATTCTTAATATTAATATTTTGTTCTACTACGCGTTTTATTTTTATTTATTTAAAATTATATTAACAATAATATATGATATTTGTAATAGAAATAAAATACAGCATAAAATATATAAAATTAATTTTGACAAATCCATTTGAATAATGTCTTATTTCTGTTCAGTCTAATAATTATTTTTTCTGCTAATAATTTATTGTTATAGATTATATTTTAAAAAATTAATATAATTGACCATTAATTTCAAAACAGCTTACATACACCTGTTCAACTAATAAAATATTAATAATTAACCAGCAATTAACCAGAGTATCATCATCCAAATACGGTAGCGTGGTAAAGAATTATTTCTCTATGTCATGTCATGTCATTTTTTCCCCAAATCCAGATCTTGCCTCAATTTATATGGCAAAAAGAATGCGTTGAAATTGGATAATTAGATAAAAAATCATCGTTGAATACGTATAAAAATATTCCGACGTATCTTTTTGTCAACTACGCTTCACAAGAGATATGTCGAATATCGCGACAGAAAATGAAACAGATATTCAAAAAACATTAAAATATGTAACTGGTGGCCGAAGATACTTCTAGGTTCAATTGTCACAGTTCGTCCTCGCCTTATACATCGTGTCTAAATGATATAAATACGGGGCGCCACCACGGCAGAGCATCAGTCGCTCGATTGCCTTCCTTCACAAACAACGAAAAAATCCCCAACCCATCAACATGAAACTGGTACGTTTTTGTGATTTGCATTAGTGAATTGTGTTTTTGTCGGTATATACTCGACTCATTGTGTGTAATTGTTTAGGAAGCACAAAGAGCCAAATGTGGATTTAAATACGATCTCATTATTTCTTAATAGAGTTATCTAAGCTCTGGTGACCATCTTGGATAAGTTTAAATAATAATGTTGCCTTTATGTTTTATAACGGTTTTATAACTGTTCTCCGCAGTTCATTGTTGCCGCTCTGTTTGTGGCCGCCACCGTCGCCGCCCCGGTTAACCCTGACACTGATGCTCAGATCCTCCGATACGACAATGATAACATTGGTGTTGGCCCCTACCGCGTAGAGTGAGTTTATATTCAGTCTTTAAATTTTAATAATCGAACTGACACTGCTTTACGTGTTTAACTTAATAAAGTCAACAGTTAACGGATAGCTGATATATCCTGACTAGCCCAACATTTATCTTTATGTTTTCTATTACAGCGTCGAAACCTCCAACGGGATCTCACAGTCTGCGCAGGGAGAGCTGAAGAACGCTGGCACTGAGAACGAAGCCACGGAGGTCCGGGGACAGTATTCTTACGTTGGGCCCGATAACGTTGTCTACACCGTCACCTACATCGCCAACGAAAATGGATACCAGGCCGACGGCGCGCACATACCCAGGAATCAATAAAAAGACATAATTTAATGCGTTATCTAGTCCAAAATACTTAACTTTCCAAACCCTTACCCGTCCTTTTGTTATATAAATCATCCAAACGATTCTGTGATATCCCGAATGAATATTGTTAATAAACATTGGGTTTTAGTAATTTAACCTTCGTATTTTATTTTATCGCTATCTAGTTGCAATCCGATTAGGCCATTTTTGAATTTTATTTAAAATGCTAAAATCTGATGATAAATTAACATACAAAATAGATTTCCTAACTGAGACGATGAGTCGTGGAATTATTCTAAAGTTTGTCGTTGTTTTTTTTTTTAATTAAGTCATATAGCAATGAAATAATTGAAACGTAGTCGAGCTATTTTAGTCGAAGTTTCGCTGTAACAACCTTCGTAACATCACAGTTAAAATGATGTTTTTGATACGATGGTTAACAAATAAATGTTTATGTCAGAAGAATATCTTGCATATACAGGTCGATTTCAACAGCAATTTGCAAGTATTTATATTTTGGGCATCATAATTCAAGTGAGTATGTTTACCGAATACACACGTCAACACACACACACACACACACACACACACACACACACACACACACACACGCACACACACACACACACACACACACACACACACACACGCACGCACGCACACACACACACGCGCGCGCGCGCACAAACTAATATAGACTATACACACAGGGACATCCTTGTAGGAATAGTCAAAATAGCTATCTAGAGATGAGAAATCGAATTTCGGAAACCGGGGTGAAACCAATAACTTTCCATTTTTTTTAAATCATTGATTTTCATAGCGAGAAGTTACAAAAAGAAAAGAACACGATGCACCTTTAGAAATTTGAGATTTTTGGTGGTGTAATTTTCGAGACAGTAAGATAAAATTAAGAGTATGAATTTATAAATTTTAATATAACTTTGATCTTTAACAATAAAGTTAAAATTTTATTAAAAAGTCAAAAGGCTTAAATAATAATATAATTTCTCATCAAGCTTCTGAAATCGATGCCTTTATCTGTGGTAGGTCACGCTGCAGCTATATTATTGTGTAGTACCACGCTTTCACAAAATACTCACGTAAAATAGGAGCTTAATACTATGTAGGCAGTACTTGGTATAAAAAGTGTAGTGAACTGGAGACTCTTATTACAAGCAACGAGCCATTTCATCGTAGAGCGACGATACATCTGCATTTTGATACTTAATTGAAGATATGTAGATATCTATTCGCCAGATAACCTACTTACTATCAGGTGGATTGTGTGCTCGTTTGTCACCCATATGCTATAAAAAATGCTTCAACATAATGTTTATAAAAAATTTGAAGTCCTTTTTTTATTGGAGAGGGGGTAAACGAGTACAATGCTCACCTGTTGGTAAGTGATTACCGCCGCCCATGAATAACTACGACACCAGGGGAATTACAGATGCGTTGCTGGCCTTTTAAAAAGGAATAGTCTCTTCTGTTGAAGGTCCCTAAGTCGTATCGGTCTGGAGAAATCTCTGGTGGTAGTTGATTCCACAAGGAAATTGTGCAAAGAAGAAAACTTCTCTTAAATCGCACAGTAGTTGACCGCCAGTCATCCAAATGGAATGGATAGTATCGTGAGTTTTGTCGCGATGTGCGATGGCGAAATTGTGCGGCTGGAATTAGTTCTAATAATTCCTCAGAGTGTTCCCCGTGGTAGATACGATAAAATACGCAAAGACATGCAACATTTCTTTGCAGAGCTAGTGAGTCATGCCGATTGGAAAGAGCTCGGTCGGTTGCCGAGCTGGCGCTTTGTGAGTCCCAGCCTAAAGATGTGAATAGTATTCCATGTGCGGCCGAATCTGCACCTTGTAAAGTAGCAGGCGGTGAGCAGGCATGAAATACTGTTCCGCTCTGCTAAGCACGCCAAGCTTTTTAGAGGCCAATTTGTCCTTTTCTTCCAAGTGACCACGAAACTGCACGTCATTCGATATGTCGACGTCGAGGATTCCGATAGTAACTGAGGCAACAAGGGGAGTGCCTTTAAACTAAGGAGATACGACAAAGGGGTTCTTTTTAGCGGTAAACGCCCAACCTTGTGTCTTCTGGGGATTAAAATGAGCTAGATTTAGTTACCCCCAGTCTGGGATTTTGTTCAACAAAGTCTCGACTTCAGACACAAGTTTGTCCCGGTACTCGGCGACGTCTTCCTGAGAAATATTGGTACAGCCGGTGTATAAAACATCACCAGTGCTGTCGTCTGCATAGCAATGAATGTAACCGGTTTGCAACATATCATTGAGTTGCAGAAGAAACAGCGTTAGTGATAACACGCAGCCTTGTGGAACACCAGCGTTAATTGGTTTGTAATCGGAGCATGCATCGTCTTTTTATTAACTGTAATGTCTCAACTATATACTAGTTCTGACTGTGCTCAAATGCATTTAATCTACGGCGAGTGTGGTGGTAACACCAATCTAACTGCAGCAAAGTATCGTGAAAGATTTGCTAAGGCACGCACGATTATCGAGTGTTTACTCGCGTGCATAATGCATTCATTGACGGCCAAATACGTGGAACTGGTATCGGCAGCACGAGCAAGTACAGAATGAAGAGGATGTACATGAAATCGCAGCTGATCCGACTACCTCCGCGCGCACCATAGCAAGACACGCAGACATATCAGAATAGTGCACAAAATACTAAAACGAGAGAAGTAACACCCATTTCATTATCAGAGCGGTCAATGTTTGCTGCCTATCCTACAAGAGGTGAATTCTGCGAAAACTTGCTAAGAAAATTGAACAGTGATCCCGAATTCTTTGACTAAATTCTGTGGAGCGATGAGTCCACGTGCAAAAAAGACGGATATTTTAATAAGCACAATCAAAATTTTCAGTTGATAGCTCACTAATCCTCATTTGGTGAGAGAAGACAGGTCCCAGTATCAATTTATATACCTTTGGACTGGAATCCTAAACGGCAACATCATCGGTCCATTCGTATTGCAAGGAACATTGACCGCAGAGAGCTATTTGCATTTTTTAAGACACGGGACAATGGAAAAGGTTTCGTTGGAAGAGAGAAGAAGAATGTGGCTGTAGCACGGTGGTTACCATTTACGCCCATAGAGGTCAAGACTGTTTCAACAAAATGTATCCCAGAAAATGGATCGGATGATTAGGGACAATTTTGTGGCCCCACGATCACAGGATCTCCCACTCGATTTTTTTACTGGTCATGCCTCGAAGAGAAGGTCTACAAAGATCCCATCACCTCAGTGGACCAGCCACGGGAGCGTGTGCAAAGGCTGCACAACAAATTACTAAAATGAGATATGCAAGCAAAATAAAGTGATCATTCTTTAGAAGGTGTAGAACGTGTATTTAGAGCTCATGGTGGCCATTTTGAACACCTTCTGTAAAATTTAATTTAATAAAATGATATTTTAAAATTGTTATTTTCTCTCGTTTTCTTTTATTATTAAATCCCATAGTTATGAAATCAATATTTTGAAGTTAATTTCAAGTAATGAAGTAAATTTTCGCACTATTGTAATAGGAATTTATTTTGTATTAAATGCTGGAAATACAGTGAGTTATAATATTTTGAAATCTCAATGAAACAGGCATGTTTTTTCTTAATTCGGCACTCAGGTGACCTTATTTGTTTACACCACGTTAGGTTAAACTTAAAAAAATAAGCTAAACAAAATTTGAGTTAGATATTTGTTTAAAAAAATAACTATGCATGAGACACAAAAACCATAGTTAACATTTGATAGCGCTTCTATTAAGAAATACCATCCAAAAAACAGATTGAAGAAATTCCTTCATTTGAAGTATTTCCACCAAAAAAGTGGCAAAAAGTATTTTAAAAAGGTTTTTTTCCCAACTTCTGCTGTTTTTTTTATATCTTTTTGTATAATTCTTTCGTGTTTGTATGACTTAAACGGCTATATCGATTATAATGAAATTACTGTGTTTTTGAGTAGATCCGGTAGGTGGCATTGTTGCCCAGATCCAGAAATCACCCGCGCGGAGCGCGATATATATATATATATATATATACTGGCGCTTCTCACGGCTTACTATGGTATTGCTGATTCCATTTTGAGGTTTGGCATCATATTTTGGGGAAATTCTACTAATAAGGAAATTATATTTAAGTCCCAGAAAAGGTGCATCAGAGCTATGTTCGGTCTTAAAATTACTGATAACTGCAAACCATATTTCATTGAGGACAACATTTTGAGCTTACCCTCCTTATTTATATATGAATTAGCAAACTTCGTTCAAAGTAACCCTAAATTGTTTAACAAACTATCGGACGTTACAATTCGCAATCGCAGGGATAATAGAAGATTATGTGCAGTTGGTTCAAGAACGGCATTGATGCATAAAAGTATTTTCTGTTTGGCGCCAATAATATATAATAAAATCCCCAAACACATCAAACAATTGCCTACCAGACTTTTTAAGCTACATCTTAAAAATATCTGATAGCCAAATGTTATTACAGCTTGCCTGATTTCTTAAGTGATTTATTTTTTAAGCTAAATAATGAATTGCGACATTTCTCTAATGCAATTTTACGGGATGAAATTGTTGCACATCTAAAATTATGAACGAAGGGTTAGTTAATTTGTCTTGTAGAATAATTAATATATGTAGTATAATATTTGTATGCCATAAATGGCAAAACATGTAGCTCGTTTTAAGTTTTTTAACACCTGTATTTATTTTACTCATGTTTTACAAAATAAATATCTTTATATATATATGTTTTGTACATTTGTATACTATGCGCTTAATATTGAAAAAACAAGATTTAAAGGAATGTAAGTAATGTCGGATATAAAGGAACTGAGGTTACACGGATATAAAGGTATGGATATAAAGGTTTTCGGCTACTTATGTAGTAGTATGTTAAATTAGACATTTATCAAACTACTACTTTGTAAATGTTTTAGCGCGAGTTTGCAATGCCTTGAAATTTAGGGAACTACCACAAACTGTCTTGTTACGGTCAGTCAATTCACCTAACCGGTTTGGGTTTTCGTTAATATAGATATGGAAAGTGAATGCCAAGGTCAGCTGCGTTGTCATAGATTCTATCGTCTACGACAAGATGTTATTAGATAATTTCGGCCTTTGTTATTTATTACTAACTACTAACTAACTAGGAAACGTTTAACGAAATCTATCTGCGTAGGATTATAGTGCCCGACCGTATGCGCGAACAGAAGTGCACTCTCTAATCCCTCACTTTCACAGTTCACGCGATGGTTATCCGACACGACCGGGATGAGTTCAGTTGTAGGACCAACGGCTTTACAAAGAAGTGTTTTTAAAGAAGTGACACAATGCCAACTATCTGACTCCGGGTTGCTACTGAGAATTTCTTGACAAATACCCAATAACTGATTTCGGTCCAACACGGGATTCGAACCCGGGACCTCATGATTAGCAATCGCGTTTACAGCCGCTTGTCCAACGACGCAGTCTATAATATGTCTAAATTATCACCTACAAGGAAAGGCAAGTCATTAATATAGACTAGAAATAGGTATGGGCCGAGAATTGAGCCCTTAGAAACACCTATTAGGTCAGGTAACCAAGAAGAACTTTTACCATTGATAATCACCGTCTATCTTCTGTTCCTTAATATAAAATAATAACTTTTTAAAGTTTTTTCTTAACACTATTGTGCTGTAGCTTTTTGATTAATGTATCATCGTGAACACAGTAGAAGGATCTTAAAAAAGTCACGAAATATATCCAAAGCATCATCTGAATACTTTCATGCACAAAAATAATAATAAACTCAATATCGACGTCAGTTATGTAGCTATCCCTTATTGATTTTTATGAAGGAACATATTTATCGTTAAAACCTTAACACCATCAACTTTTCTCAAAATTTTTATTTATTGATAGAAGAACAGAAGTTGGTCTAAAATTGGCGGGTCTAATGCACTACCAGATTTTAATAAAAATGTGACTATACTATGTTTCATTAAATCAGCCAATTAGATCAGATTGAGTCAAATTATTGTTAATCGATTGATCCATCTATCCATTCATTAGACCCTATAAAATTCCACTGTTGAACATAGGCTTCTCAAATAGATTGAAAACGTCCGTGATATCATCCCGTGGGTGTCGTGAGAGGCGACAGAGGGAAACAATTGATGATGCCAGATTGACAATTAAAACAGAAGATGGGCAGCAGCATCTTCCTGACGACAGAAACTTAAAAAAAACCTGCGGTGCCAACCTGCCTGCCAAGAGTGGTAACCATTCTAAAGTTATTGTCAATATTCAATTAAAAATCTGAGTTTCGTAGTTTGTTTGAACTTGCCCGTTTCACTATTTATTATACTCCATGTCATTTTAATTTTATTGGATGCGGTTTTAATTTTGCTGCCTCAATGTAAAGTCTTAACTGTGGAGCACACTTTTTTTAAATATTTTAGATTTTTTATATGCTCTCCATATATAAAACTGTATTATTTCATTATAAAGATCTTTCACCTATCTTTATGAATTCCTACCGTTTCCCATTCATTAAATGATTTGCAACTGTTTCAGACGAAAGTTTTAGAAGTAATTTTTTTAATTAAATTCACTACTAACAATTGTAAGTAATGCACCATACAAATAATTGGTTTAATTTTTATATGAAAGCGATGGTAGTCTTTGTATTATATTATTTATATTTTTCTTCTTAACCTCTCCAAACGATGTTTATTTCGACGGCTCCGAGGAAAAAATCGTGATCATTAATATTAAATTATATGGATTGAAAAAAGGGTTGTTCTCTTAGCCTACATGGAATAGTTATGGAATTTATTTGAATTAACTTGTGTATTTTTGTTGCACCATTTGCAACAAAAAATTAATAATAAAATAGTGTACTTTAAAAAAATACTCGTTTTTATATAGAAGTATGCATTAATTATGCTATGTACACTGCGTAGCCATTTCATTACCGTAAAATTTATAAAATACTAGTTGCTGGTGCCAATGAATTTTATTGGAAACAAACAGAACTTTTATTTTACTGTTTGTTTTGTGTATGTGAGGCAATGATACTAACCGTCCACAGTGATCCGAAATTGAACGATTAATTTATGCAAGGACGTATTAGCGTCTCTAAAAATGTTATCTATATATAAATAGATTGCACTAGCCCAGACCCAGCAATACGTGTTGGTTCTAATAATTACATTTATATATTGTGTGATGTAAGCAATTTTTTTTAATAGGATAAGACAACAATAATGAACTAAACTTAATACCAATGTAAAGAGTTTTTAGTAAATTTACAATATTAAAGTAAGACTTGGTAAGTTTACTAAATTTAAGCAAACTTTTTGAATATATATACCCAATACCACAATATTTTTAAAATATTTTTAAGTAAAAAACAATGAAATATTTAGCTCGCCACAAGTCATTTCTACAGTTAGTTCAAAAAAGAGGCTCACAATATTCTTATTTAATCTAATCATGATTGATCTGCTAATATTAATTAGCCACAACGTAAACTTTTTTATTGAAGGAGCTCACGTAGACGTAGTAGAGAGCGGGATAGACATATGCTGCAGAGTATTATAGCTGCAACATTTGCGTCGTTCAGTTCAGTTCAATTTTGGTTCGATTGAGGAAAGACCACGCTCTCATAGAACATCATGAAATAGCTGCATAATAATGTCGTGTTTCGTATGGCGAGTGACAAAAACTGAAGATCAGATTTTTACTAGTATGTCGGTATATAAGGGTAATTGTTGACGACACGTAGCAAACATTGAGCGTATATACCCACCCACATTTGATCATTTTAAATAAATCAACAAGTAACAAATAAACTGATAAATCATTCGGGCCTACACAATTAATATTTACATTTTACATCAAAACAATCCTAAAACGTAGGACGTATTTAAAAAAGAAATAACTACGACTAAAATAAATAAAAAAGTTGCCATAATAGGTTCTGCCAACATTTAAATATATGCAAACTAGACTTAGACGTATATAAATGTGTGAAATTAATATTCCTATCAGTCTCTGGCAAATCATTCTCTCGTAATAGATCCAACACTGAACGTCCTTCGCGAAAATGAAATCCGTAAGTAATTTAATGAATTATTTAATAGAAAATTCTATTTATGTGTGTCGATATCTTATGACATTCGTTAAAGAATTGAAACGTATCACGCCTCTTTTTCTTTCAACATTTTTCTTTTACGATTAGACGAGATGGCATGACACTGGGATTATTATAATACAAACAAATAAAAAAGGCGGTCACGTTAAGTAGAATTGAATTTTACTGTACTTAATCAACTTCAAAACTGAAAGCAAAGATATGTTAAGATAATTTAATATCACACTAAGTGTTGTGTTTTTCAAACTCTTATGAAGATTATATTGTAACGGTAGAAAAAAGTTACCTTTGTTTGTCGGATATTTTATTTACCTTACAAGATGATTGTGTGCTGTTTGAAGATTTTACAAAATTTTCTATATGTAATTTACGAAATTTTTGATTAAATTAATTTTGGCGCATATATCATTTTTATTTCGCGAAAGACACGGTCGTGCATCTATCTTAATTGGACTCGAACAAATGCTTTGTTTCAGCAAAGAACAAAATTATGTAGTGCGAGTGTGAAGCTGGCGGTGAAGACGCGCGGGGGGGGGGGGGTTTGGCCTTGTGTGCAAAACAGAAAACTTTAAAAATGAGAAGCTTAAAATTAAAATATTGTATATATTTAATTGCATATGTTTCTCTATCTGCATATTTATTGCAGTAGGTATTACGGCTATGATTTGTTGTGATGCTGCGATTTGCAAAAATCATGGATTCGAAATCTAATAAACTTTTTCTTTAATTTCGCTAAGAAATTGTTAAGATTTCACATTACAAAAGCTCTTTTAAATTCTAAATAATTTGTACCAAAATTAAGAACTGAATAATCCAGCCACTATCTTTTATGTAATAATAAAAATTTTATTAAAAATTCGTATTGCATCACCAAGAATTCTATAATTATGACCTTAACTGTACGGTTTGTTTTTATTTTAGTTCTGACAGTTTACCTGATGTTAAGGGGCTACTAAATATCTGCTAATTCATGAGTACCTGTAACCAACTACAAGCAAAGAACTTTGCTTTGTCACCCATGACGATTGAGATGGATCATCTCACAGCCAATATTGCTCTTTCTGTTATCCTTTAGCCAGCCAGCAGTAGGGACACTGTTTGGCGATAGAAATAATATTTTAAACAATTTTATTTATACTGTTATAGTGCAACACAGTAGTTACACACACACACACACACACACACACACACACACACACACACACACACACACACACACACACACACACACACACACACACACACATATACACAGTAGAAACACAACAGCATTAAGCTGCTATTTTAAACTGGTTTTCTGTGAGAGCGTAGTCCTACACCGTTCTAGCCGACCCATTCGTGCCGCAACAGTAATATAGCTGCAGGGTGGCTCTACCAAGTAAAAAAAAGTTCAATGCATTTCCAACATATTTTTTTGGAAATACTTAAACATCGTATAGAAACAAGTTCCATTGATGAATATGTAGTAGCTTTAACCGGTGTTGTCGTAAAATATTAGATTATATTAATTAACACTGTCAAAGTAGCTACATCTGAATACTAATCTATAATCATTTAAGATTAAAATTTTATTTTTAAATGAGATTAACGGCTAAAGTACAAGGATATTTAGAAGGTTTCAAATGTTCTATTTGATTTCGAAATGATTTTAATCGATGAAAAAGGAGGGGTTCTTAATTCGAATATTTAATATTTATATTTCTGATGGAAGGTTGACAATTTTGCTGATTCTTTCTTTATCAAAAGAGTATATTACAGAGAATCAAAATGCAGATGCATTGCGATTGCCTCGTTTCCAGTGAAAAGGGTCTCCGATTCTCTACACTCACTATACCTCACTATATATATATATATACATATTTTTTTTATACACAGTACACATATGGTAAGTGGATATTGTGGCTTATAGACTATCTACCATCTGCCCTTAATCAAAAATTAATCAAAATACAGATGCGTTATCACTTTAAAGGACTATAATGGAATCCTTCGTTTTCAGTAAATAGGGTATCCGGTTTTGTACACAAACCATACGAAACACAGCGGCAATAGTTGATATTTAACGCCGGTATTCCGTGAGAGTGCAATTCTACCCTGGTCAAACCGACCCATTCATGCTACAATTATAATATAGATGTGGCGTGGCTCTACCACGTATAATGAATATTTAGAAATTTAAAGAATAATCTTTACATTTCAGCTCATCATTTTTGCTTTGTTTGTTACCACGGCGGTCGCTGTACCGATTGACTCTAAGGACGCCACCGTCGTCACTAACGAACTCAACAACATCGGTGTTGGAGACTATTTCTACAGGTAATTTTACACGAGCATACAGTCTACCTGATGGTAAGGGGATACTATATCCCATAAAAATTTACATCTATCCTCGATTAAAAACCTAAATGCAGATTGCGTTGTCACCCCTAATCGATAAAAGTGAATGCATTGTTTCCAGTGAAAAGTGTTTCCAGATCTCTACTTTTGGTTCTGGATGTTTGTTCTTGTGCAATTTATGTCTGTAAAGTGCTTTCACAACACGCGACAAATTGCTATGGTGAAGTTTACAGAATTTTTTATGGGATCAGATCAGATCAGAGAATTTTTATAGGTATCGTCCGTGTAGTGTCGGTGTACAAATATCCATTAGACCATATCAGCCCAAGGGGTGTCGTAAGAGGTGACAGAGAAAATAATCAGAAGGCGGTAAAAATAATGTGAACTGTGGTACTCGTATCCTAAAACGCGACAAACTTCATTTTCTTCCCATTGAATAGATTTTTCTTAAGCATGCTCGGCAGGTGAATTGAACGATCGCCGTGCCAGACGTCTTGCACTTAACGGTTTCAGAGACTTTTGATGCTGTCCGTCGACGGAGGTAAAGGTCTCTCTGTTTATTTCCCGTCTGGCTTAGATTAGATAGATATAACGCCTTCTATGGAAACCCATGAGATATTTTTGTCATTTCTCATATTAGCCACTTACAACACCTAAAAAAATGGTATGTAGCTGTGTTATGTATGGTGGGTGTAAGTAGAGAACCAGAGACCATTTTTGCGGGAAACAGAAGTGACAACGCGTATCCATTTTGACTCTTAATTGAGGATGAATGTAGATGTCTATTGGCCACAGCATCTACTTTCCATGAGATGGACTATATGCTCGTTTTTTAAAGTTATTCTTTCATCATCATCATCATCATTACAGCCCTTCACAAGTCCACTGCTGAACATAGGCCTCCCCCAAGTAATGCCACAAAGCACGGTCCTGAGCCACCTGCATCCATCGACTTCCTGCATGTCTTACCAGGTCGTCACTCCATCTAATGGGGGGTCGCCCTACACTACGCCTACCGGTACGAGGATGCCAATCGAGAACCTTTCTTCCCCATCGGTTATCGGTTCTTCGAGCTATATGGCCGGCCCATTGCCACTTCAGCTTACTAATCCGTTGGGCTATGTCGGTCACTCTGGTTTTACTGCGGATATCCTCATTTCTGAGTCTATCACGCAGAGAAATTCCGAGCATAGCCCTCTCCATAGCTCGCTGAGCGACCTTGAGCGTCCTCATACGGCCAGCAGTGAAGGACCACGTCTCTGATCCGTAAGTCATCACTGGCAACACCTGACGAGAAGATGTGTTGTAATTTCCCGAACGCTGCCCAGCCGAGTTGAATCCGTCGATTGACCTCTCGGTCGAAGTTGGACTTACCTAGTCGGACTATTTGTCCCAGGTAAACGTACTCGTCAACAACTTCGAGCATAGTGCTCCCAACAACTACCGGCATAGGTGTGACATAGACATTAAACATGATCTTTGTTTTGTCCATGTTCATCTTAAGACCTATCCGTTGGGAGACACCATTGAGGTCATTGAGCATAGTGCTAAGGTCTTCCAGCGATTCTGCTATAAGGACTATATCGTCGGCAAATCGAAGGTGAGTGATGTACTCGCCATTGATGTTAATACCGTATCCTTTCCAGTCCAGTAGCTTGAAAACGTCTTTCAACGCAGCGGTGAAGAGTTTCGGGGATATAACGTCACCCTGTCTTACACCTCTCTGCAGTTGGATAGGTTTCGAACTCTGGTTCTGTACTCGGATAGCCATCGTAGCCCTACTGTACAAACACTTCAGCACTTCGATATACCGACAGTAAACTTGGCACCGCTGAAGGGACTGTAGCACCGCCCAAATTTCGACGGAATCAAAGGCTTTCTCATAGTCCACATACGCCAGACAAAGTGGCAGATTGTACTCTTCGGTCTTCTGTACAATCTGCCGCAGGGTATGTATGTGGTCTATGGTACTGAAGCCTTTTCGGAAACCGGCTTGTTCGGGAGGCTGGAAGTCGTCGAGTCTGCGAGACGATTCGTAATGACTCGAAAACAGCGCTTAGACGCGGCTCAGAAGGGAAATCGGTCTGTAGTTCTTCAAGAGAGCGTTGTCGCCTTTCTTAAAGAACAAGACCACCGTACTTCTACTCCACGCCTCCGGAGTAGTGCCACCATGGAGGATGGAATTGAAGAGCTTCTGAAGGACTTCAAGTACCGGTGTTCCACCCGCTTTCAGAAGCTCCGCTGTAATTCCATCCTCGCCTGGGGCCCTGCCGTTTTTAAGGTGCTGGAGAGCCATTCTAATCTCGCTCAGACTGACGTCCGGGATATCATCGGAATAGTGTCGGGTAAGACTTGCTCTTGGATCGTTACTCACATTTGCGTGTGGCTCCAACGATAATGTGTACAGCTGCCCATAGAACCTCTCAATCTCATTCAAAATCTCAGGTGTCCCGGAAACGATGCTGCCACACTCAGTCTTCAGCTTTGACAGTTGGCTCTTTCTGGCAGACAGATCTCTGGCAAAGACTTTGGAGCCCTGGTTCCGCTCGATCGCTTCTTTAATACGAGCAGTATTAAAGTTGCGTAAGTCTCGCCGCACGCATTTGGAGATCTGTCTGTTCAGTTGCCTGTATGCTGTCAAATCTGTTGACCATTGCAGCCTCATCTCCCGTCTAACAGCCATGAGATTAAGAGTGTGATCGGAGAGTTTTTATGTTCTTCTGCGGCGGGTCTTGCAGAACTTAGCTCCGACCGCATGGACAGTTTCCACGAGCTTGTCATTCATATCGCCCACTGCATTACAATCTTCTAGGCACTAAAAATGGTTACGTAACTCGAGCTGAAAAGTCTCGGGATTCTGGATTAGAGCACGAGGGGGACGGAGCGTTGACTTCATTAGACGAGACCTCTCCAACTTAACATTTAGGTTCAGTGTGCCTCTTACCATTCGGTGATCGCTGCCGGTTTTCACCCTTGCGATCACTGAGACATCACTGAACATTTGGCGTCTGGTCGTCATAATGAAGTCAATCTCATTTTTTGTCGAACCGTCGGGGCTCGACCAGGTCCACTTCCTGTGGGGCCGCTTCTGGAAGAAAGAGTTCATCATAAAGAGTCCCTCTTTCTCCATAAAGTCAGCCAGCTGCTGGCCCCTACGGTTCCGTTGCCCTACTCCAAATTTGCCTAACTTCAGCTCACCGCCTTCTCTTGTGCCTAGTTTTGCGTTGAAGTCTCCCTTCAACACCGTGTAGTGGGTTTTGGAAGAATGCATGGCTTTGGAAATATCCTCATACATTTCCTCCACCTCCTCATCGGGATGTGCCGAGGTTGGTGCGTAGACCTGTATGACCTTCAGCGAATACCGTTTGGTGATTCTGAGTATCAGGTACGCGACCCTCGTCGACACACTCCCAATCTTTACAACGTTGTTGACGAGAGACTTGTGGACGATAAATCCGTCACCTTCTTGGGACAGATGGTCGCCCTTCCGGTGATAGAACAAGTTGCCGGACTTGAGGATTACCGTGTCCTCCCCCTCTCTTCGGACCTCAGATAATCCAATAATATGCCAGCGCAACTTGTCTACCTCCTCTTTCAGCTCCAGTATCTTCTCGTCAGTCCTCAGGGTGCGTGCGTTTTACGTTGCCAGGTCGAGTCGTCGTAGGTGGCAACCGAACCTCCACCGGAGATTCTTAGCACCCCCTGCCCCGCCGTTACTATGATCGCCACCGTAGCCAGGAATAGCGGGGCCGCCAGGGACTGGAGGCCGTTTATTTGCGTCGTTGCTCATGGGGGGATATTTGCCATAGTTGCCACGCTTGGCGAGCGGGCTGGCAACCGCAGTTTTTTATTATGTTATTGTTGTTATTAGGAAGATGATGCTGCCCATCTCCTTCCTGCGTCCCTCTGTCGCCTCTTACGACACCCACGGGAAGATATGGGGTAGTGGATATTCTCAACCGCCACTACACGGATAAAGTTATTCTTTATAAAAAATGAATTTTTCAACGTCACCATCACAACACAGAGGTTAAAATAAAGATCATAGTAGACTCGACAAAGGTTGAAATAACCTTTATAAGTTGTACACTTATAGTGCAATGTGACTAGGTGAATATCTCCACTTTTTTACTTTTAAATTGTATTGAGGTCGTCGCATATTAGGTATATTGACTAAATACCAGACTACAAAGATTATTTATATACTGGATAACCTTTTTTTACCGTCTGAGAAAAAAGTAGGATGTAACTTGTGAACGGAGTAGAAGCCTATGGCACTGATATTTTACGTAAATATCAGTGCCATTAGGGACAATGAAAACAAACATTTTAAATTAAACGTTTGTAAATTTTTTTTTGCACATTTATTTATTTTGTCCTTTGTTTGGTTTGTCCTTGAGCCTGATACCCTGCGAAGTGACAAGGTCAAAGATGCCTACTAAATTTATTGTTTTATTCGCCTTCGTAAAGTGGGGTGTATATGATCTACGTGGTGGAGCCATGCTACAGCTATATTACTGATATATTTGTAGCACGAATGGGTCGGCTTGACCGGGAAAGGACCACGCTCTCACAGAATACCAGCGTAAAATGGTAGCTTAACGCTGTGTTTCGTATGGTCAGTGTAGAGAACCGGAGACCGTTTTTACTGGAAACGAGGCATTACATCCTAGTCCTCACGGGTGACAACGCATCTGCATTTTGATTCGTAATCGAGGATATATGTAGACGTCTAGGGGCCGTTGTAACCACTTACCATCAGGTGGACTGTGTGCTCGTTTGTCACCCTAATCTTATTAAAAAAAGATTCTAATTAATTTATTTATTTAATTCGAAATTATTGTTTTAATTTTTTTAATATTTATATCAGTGCCATAGGCTTCTACTTCGTTCACATGTTACACCCTACTTTTTTCCAAATGGTAAAAAAGGGATCAGTATACTGGACCAAATCAATCCTATCCAGAATCAAATATAACGTTCTAGTAGTCCAGCGCTCCGTTAATTATTGGACGTCATCCGTTGGCAGATACGGATGGCAAACATAGTCCTAACTACGCAATCAACTCTTAAGCTTTCTGGAGTGAAAAATAATCTGTGTTACGTGTTCTGACCGTTTCTCTCTTGTCATTTCATCTACCGGTTGGAACAGATTTTAGGATAAGTCCAATAGGATTAATTAGTTTAGTTTAGGCTTAACTAATTGATTCTTGTATGTAGATGCACACTGTGGGATAAATAAGTTTGGCCAAGTCTATACGGTATGCAATTCTTGTAGGGAAATCGAATGCATAGAGATGAAACTGAAACTTGTAGAGCCAAACTACGGCTTTATTATAGTTGTAGCACGAATAATTTCAGAATATGATCACGCTTACACAGAATACTAGCGTAAAATATCTTGTTGTGATTCGTATGTTGAGTGTAGAGAACTGGATACACTTTTTATTGGAAACTAGGCATTCCACTTTAGATATCAGGTGCATGCATCTGCATTTCGATTCTTTATTTATGATGGATGTGTATGTCTACGGGCTGCAGCATTTACTTGACATCTGAGGGTCATTTATCACCCTTATTTTAATTAAAAATGATAACAGGAAATATAAAAAAAATTAATATTATACCATAGAATTATGAATAAAAATGAGAGCATTTATCAAGTACGTATCAGCAATTGTAGACTGAAGTACGGCTGGGATAAGTCTTGGGCTAACCCAAAGCCATGCTCATCTAGTCAATTCTATCAAGCTAAGGAAAATAAAAAGGTTTACCGGATCGATACGACTTAAGGACCTTCAAGAAAAGAGCTGCAACTCCCCTGGTGTTGCGGCTGTTCATGGGCGGTGGTAGTCACTTACCATTAGGCGAGCCGCATGCGCGTTTGCCCCCTTTTCTATAAAAAAGGTAATACTAATTTATCCTAAAATCTGGTTTGGCCAGGAACATCATCGCTGTCGTGAAAATGCTTAAAAAATCACCAAATATTTTTATTTTTAGATACGAGACCAGCGACGGTAAGATTGCTTCTGAAGAAGGTCACCTAAAGAATGTTGGCACTGAAGACGAAGTCCTTGAAGTTCGTGGCCAGTACTCTTACCCAGGTGATAATGGTGTCGTTTACACCATCACATATGTCGCCAACGAGGACGGATACAAGGCTGAAGGTGCCCACATCCCTAGGTCATTAAATTAAAGTTATTACCTAGTCAAAAAGAACCAATAGCATATTAGTGCTATTCACTGTTGACTGATTTTCCTTTCTTTGTGATATTGCGTAGGCATTTTTAAATAAATATTATAGACGGTAACCCCCTATTTTTGTTTATATATACATAATTGGAACCGTTATGTGGCGCGGTTGTGTAGATCTACAAATTTCTAGTGCGAAGCCGGGGCGTATAGTTAACTTAACAAATATTCATATATTACTAATACATTACGCTCGAAGTTGTCGACGAGTTCCTTAACCGTTAGCATTACAGCCTGTCAAAAGTCCTCCTATAGATTGCGTCCTAGGGATGTAATTTGCCATTGTTGCCACGCTTGGTAGGTGGGTTGCGGATCTTCTTCATGACATGTTCTCATGACGTATTTCTTATTTGTTGAAAACAAGAGATTACAACCGGTGCGTGTTGACCGTATGAAGAAATTCAAGGTCGCTAGGTGATGCATAGAGAGGGCTGCTTGTAGTTTCTCTGCGTGAGTTTAGATCTTTAAGAATTTAACCATATAGACTGAAGAGCCAATAACACATGGGGAAGAAAGGTACCCGAGTGGCAGTCTCGTCGTACCATAATTGAATTATATAGAGCGGCTCCCAACTAAATGTAGTGACTATATGGTAAGATATGCAGAAAGTCGTTAGATGCAGGCTTATGTACAGCTGTAGACTTATGAAGGGTTGCAATGATGATGATGATGATGATGAGGAAAATAACGCGATTTTCAGAGTCTATTCTTCTCAGTTATAGAATGTATTTCTAGATATTGTCATATTAGGTCTTTACCTATAAAATTGCCGTATTTTTGAAATAAAAAAATCAAATTCTTAGCAACGCAGTGATAGTTTATTGATATTCTTGAAGAAACAGGAGGGAACAAAGCTGTCTCTTGGGTATTGAGTTTTTTCAACGCCCAAAAATTTATACGAATTCTAGAAAAAGTAGAAGTCTGTAGGCACAAGGTCTGGTGAGTATAGCGGATGACGGACAGCTTCCAACCCCAGCTCTTGATACTGGAGACCATCTGTTGTGCAGTATGAGGTCGTGCGTTGTCGTGCAGGAGCGTCGGGGACGAGCGATTGACTAAAGCTGGTTGGAAAGACCGTCTGTTCTGCAGTATAAGGTCGTGCGTTGTCGTGCAGGAACATCGGGGACGAGCGATTGACTAAAGCTGGTTGGAGAGACCATCTGTTGTGCAGTATGAGGTCGTGCGTTGTCCTGCAGGAGCATCGAGAACGAGCGATTGACTAAAGCCGGTAAGAGCGCCCATTTGTTGTGCAGTATGGGGTCGTGCGTTGTCGTGCAGGAGCATCGGAGATGAGCGATTGACTAAAGCTGGTTGGATCGACCATCTGTTGTGCAATATTGGGTCGTGCGTTGTCGTGCAGAAGCATCGGGGACGAGCGATTGACTAAAGCTGGTTGGAGCGACCATCTGTTGTGCAGTATGGGGTCGTGCGTTGTCGTGCAGGAGCATCGGGGATGAGCGATTGACTAAAGCTGGTTGGAGCGAACATCTGTTGTGCAGTATTGGGTTCGTGCGTTGTCGTGCAGAGCATCGGGGATGAGCGATTGACTACAGCTGGTTGGAGCGACCATCTGTTGTGCAGTATGGGGTCGTGCGTTGTCGTGCAGGAAGCATCGGGGACGAGCGATTGACTAAAGCTGGTTGGAGCGACCATCTGTTGTGCAGTATTGGGTCGTGCGTTGTCGTGCAGGAGCATCGGGTACGAGCGATTGACTACAGCTGGTTGGAGCGACCATCTGTTGTGCAGTATGGTGTCGTGCGTTGTCGTGCAGGAGCATCGGAGATGAGCGATTGACTAAAGCTGGTTGGAGCGACCATCTGTTGTGCAATATTGGGTCGTGCGTTGTCGTGCAGAAGCATCGGGGACGAGCGATTGACTAAAGCTGGTTGGAGCGACCATCTGTTGTGCAGTATGGGGTCGTGCGTTGTCGTGCAGGAGCATCGGGGATGAGCGATTGACTAAAGTTGGTTGGAGCGACCATCTGTTGTGCAATATTGGGTCGTGCGTTGTCGTGCAGAAGCATCGGGGACGAGCGATTGACTAAAGCTGGTTGGAGCGACCATCTGTTGTGCAGTATGGGGTCGTGCGTTGTCGTGCAGGAGCATCGGGGATGAGCGATTGACTAAAGCTGGTTGGAGCGACCATCTGTTGTGCAATATTGGGTCGTGCGTTGTCGTGCAGAAGCATCGGGGACGAGCGATTGACTAAAGCTGGTTGGAGCGACCATCTGTTGTGCAGTATGGGGTCGTGCGTTGTCGTGCAGAAGCATCGGGGACGAGCGATTGACTAAAGCTGGTTGGAGCGACCATCTGTTGTGCAGTATGAGGTCGTGCGTTGTCGTGCAGGAGCATCGGGGATGAGCGATTGACTAAAGCTGGTTGGAGCGACCATCTGTTGTGCAGTATTGGGTCGTGCGTTGTCGTGCAGGAGCATCGGGGACGAGCGATTGACTAAAGCTGGTTGGAGCGACCATCTGTTGTGCAGTATTGGGTTCGTGCGTTGTCGTGCAGGAGCATCGGGGACGAGCGAGTGACTAAAGCTGGTTGGAGCGACCATCTGTTGTGCAGTATGAAGCCGTGCGTTGTCGTGCAGGAGCAACGGGGACGAGCGATTGACTAAAGCTGGTTGGAGCGAACATCTGTTGTGCAGTATGGGGTCGTGCGTTGTCGTGCAGGAGCATCGGGGATGAGCGATTGACTAAAGCTGGTTGGAGCGACCATCTGTTGTGCAGTATTGGGTCGTGCGTTGTCGTGCAGGAGCATCGGGGACGAGCGATTGACTAAAGCTGGTTGGAGCGACCATCTGTTGTGCAGTATGGGGTCGTGCGTTGTCGTGCAGGAGCATCGGGGATGAGCGATTGACTAAAGCTGGTTGGAGCGACCATCTGTTGTGCAGTATTGGGTTCGTGCGTTGTCGTGCAGGAGCATCGGGGACGAGCGATTGACTAAAGCTGGTTGGAGCGACCATCTGTTGTGCAGTATGAGGTCGTGCGTTGTCGTGCAGGAGCATCGGGGACGAGCGATTGACTAAAGCTGGTTAGAGAGACCATCTGTTGTGCAGTATGAGGTCGTGCGTTGTCATGCAGGAGCATCGGGGACGAGCGATTGATTAAAGCTGGTTGGAGACGTGCGAGCTTCTCCATCATTGTGTGTAGTTTTTTACAGTACACATCTGAACTAATGCTGATTCCGTTTGGTAGGAAGCTATGATCAATCATACTGGCGTTAGATCACAAAACAGTGAATATCACTTTTCTGGGCGTAAGTTTTCGTTTAGATAATTTTTTTAGGTGTTGAACAAGGATCGAACCATCATGCTGAGCACTTGCGATTGTCAAATAAAATCTATTTTTCGTCGCAGACAACAAAATTCCTTCGTTTGTGTACCTGTTCAGCGGTGCCAGTTACGTCTCGACGCGCTGGCGATTATTGAGTTCGTGGGGCATCCGTTTTCAAGCTTTTTTAAATTAGACGCAAATAGACCAATATTGTTTTCATGCTAACGTCAAAGCTGCTGCAAATTCAGCCGTAGATTGAGTATCATCAGCTTCCACAATCACCTGTACTTCGTCATTTGACCAATAATTTTCGCACGACCACAGTCTTCATTTTTCAGGTTGAAATTTTTAGAACGGAAGCGGGTAAACCGTGACGTTAAGCGTAACGTAAAGCGCGTAAACCGTGTAGTATTCGCTCCGTAAACGTTGTTGATGATGTGTGCCGATTGTGCCGTGTTGCTGACATGATATGATGTACTCATATTCCATTATTACTCGAATTTTTAACGTATGATGACGAAAATTATCCACTTACGATGGAAACATAACGGTAATCAATATGCAAATAACTAATATTGAAAAGAATTTGCTATGTTAATTCTTAGCCAAACAAAAATTATTTTAATTTGAAATGGCCAGTACTGTAGAACGGCAATTACATTGGTAAGGACCTATTATTTTAAAATGTTTTAAATCTATTATAAACATCTTGGCTAATACTTGTTATAGCAGCGGCCCATGTGCAGCCCTTGACAGTTAGAGGCTTATAAATAGTACCTTATTAACATGTTACTACACGTTTATATATCTAGGAAAATTTCTAGCAGACGCTTTAGAATTTTGTTTAAAATAAAAAACTAAAGACGAAAACTTTGTCACATTAACTATATACTCGTAAAAGAGTCGGAGTCGTGGTAGTTCTGGCGATAAGTGGTCGCCGTAAAATATGGTAGTATACGAGGACACCGAGTTCCCGGCGGCACAAATTAAATTGTTAATTGTACTTTTAATGTTCTGAAAGCCGAATTTCGGTCAACGAGGCCAGTGTCAATGAAGAGTGAAGACTGACCATCTGTGCAGGACGGGATTATAATACCTAATGTATTATTTGCGCAATCACGAGTGCACACTCCACTTGGCTTGTTATTACGAAGATGCTTCTGCGCATCTCATACATCGCATGCTTCCCTGCGTCGTCTCTTACCCCCCACGGGACGAGGGGGAGGGTGGTGGATGTACTTACACCGCCACTACATTGTTATTTTAGAATAAGATTTTATATTACTATATTAGATATATTACTATATTAGAATATGATTAATATAATGATTTCTTATATTTACGCGAACACTATACATTGATTAAAACTACTTTTACGGATTTTATCGCGTTTTATTTATATTAATTTTAATACCCGACGTTTCGGGTGCTTTCCTTGATCATATTCTAGATGGCCCCAACCATTACATCAGATTTGATAGACCACAAATCCTCGCGAAAGAACATCGATTCCTACCAAGGATGATACGTGAGGCTATTGAAATTAAAAAACATCCTAATTTCAATAGAGAAGGAGGCTGGGTACTACCACCTGCTTGGGATCCTATAATTAATAAAATTAAAACTAAACCCAAGCATACCACTGCAAGACTTCAAAATACAGTTAG